TATTTGCTTATTATTTCTTGGCTATATATTGTAATATGAGAAACTACTTTGGCAATAACAATACACAATGTACTAATCATTGTTACTCTCCTAAAATCTTGTTTTGAGATTTTGTACCACTGTTTTTATTTTTTTTCTTTCTTTAAAATAAAAATAACTGATGTCAAGAAAAAAAAAGAAACATTTTTGGTAATATTGTTTGAGCAATTAAATGCTAATATCTTTTACTCTGAGTCACTAATTTAAAGATTAAATACACAGTATATTAACCATTGTTACCCTCCTTTTAGCTTGTTTTGAAATTTTGGTGTTTTTCACCTTAAAATAATTTTTTTTAATTTTATGAGACAATACAAAGAATAGATATTGATGGGTAAATGGAATTTTTGTTTTTATTTTTTGAGGACTATCTATACTAATTTACATAATTGTTGTACTAGCATACACTCATACAGCATTATAGAAGGGTTCACATTTATCCACATTTGTTGTTATTTTACTTTCTTTTTTATTATGTTTGCAGCATTTAATGATTGCATTGATTTGAAGAGTTGGTACATGTAAAACAAATCTCAGTTCTCCTTTAATTCCTTTTCTCTCTTCCTTCACTTTCCCTCCTTCTGTGGGTCTCCTCATCTGCTGATTAACAAGATGGCAGAAACTGACATATTGTGAGTGGTGCCCAGTTTCAGGATATTGGTACTCCGTCACTCTAACTAGAGGATTTCTTTTTAACTGTGAAAGAATTACCATCTTCCCCCCCACTCAAAAAAAAAAAAAAAACATAAAAAATGAGAACACTGGAAGTGATTCTTTAAGAAGGGCGTGGAATATGAATAAAGAACATTTTGCTTATATTTGCCCAGTTCTAATAAATGCCAGTGAGGCAGCAAGATCTTTGCTCTCTTGCCTACTACAGAAAAATACATCACTATGTCAGGCCCTATTAAAATTATTAAGGAGATCGTATTATAAATGGCTATAATTGACTAAGTGGTACAGAGAGATACAAAAAAAGTCATACTTACTCTCCACAAAAAATGCAGTTGACACCATTAACTTGATTAAGGAGACTGGAACTGAGCTGATGGTAAAACATAAGATATGGGCCACACCTATCATCCCAATAAAAAGATATACGGTGACATGATGCCAGTCCTTCAGTTTGTTCCAGTGGTTTTCCTCATATAGAGGCAGATGGTGTCCTCCACTGAGAGTCAGTGATACAATAATGCCTGCAAAACGAACAAGGCAGAATTTTAGCAACATTCTCCACAGCTTTGCCTGGCATGCAGGATGATGCAAGAAAGTATGCCCACTACAATCTATTATTCCCTTCTGACACTGATTCCTTCACTCTGGGATGTTCCTCAAAGTCTTATTACTTGCACTTTCACTTATTTTAGAGGTTCATATGCTGATTAGATAATCAATTTTAGGGAATGAGGATATAGCTCGGCAATCTAAGCACCTGCCTGGCAAGCACAAAGACTTGAGTTCAATCCCTGGTACTGCATGCTGAGTCAGGCAAACCCATGCCAGCCCTGAAACTATGCATGGTGATGCACCCTCGCCTGTAATCCTGGCACTGGGGAGGCTGAGAACTAAGGATCAATCACTCCAAGTCTGAGCTGTGTAGCAAGATCCTGTACCAAATAAATAAATAAATAAAATTTTAAAATTATAATAATTAATAATAATAATAGTCAATTTTAACTCAAAAGAAGAAATACAAATAGAAAGGTATAATACAAGTAAAAGGAAAGCAGG